ACACACACACAGCACCGTAGCACTCACACAGCACCCTAACACTCACACAGCAGCCTAACACCAGCACGCTAACACCAGCACCCTAACATTGACACATCACCCTAACACACACACAGCACCCTAGCACTCACACAGCACCCTAACATACACACAGCACCCTAACACTCACATAGCACCCTAACACCGGCACCCTAACATTGACACATCACCCTAACACATACAGCAACCTAGCACACACACACATCACCCCAACACATACACAGCAACCCAACACACACACAGCAACCCAACACACACACAGCACCAACACACATCACCCTCACACACATCACCCTCACTCACACAGCACCCTCAAATACACAGAACCCTCGCACAGCGCCCTAACACACAGCGCCCTCACACACAGCGCCCTCACACACAGCGCCCTCACACACAGCGCCCTCACACACAGCACCCTCACACACAGCACCCTCACACACATACTGCACCCCACACACACATACTGCACCCCACACACACACAGCACCCTTCCACACACACTATACTCCTCACAAATGCACACTACACCCCTCACACACACAGCACCCCCCAAACACACTGCACCACTGCACTCTCCTATACGCACTCCTGAGTCATTCAAAAACACACTAGATCCCCTACACACAGACGCTGCACCACTTACATACACACAACATTTCTGACATACACACTCAGAATCCCCTATGAACACACTAGATACCATTTAAGCAAACACATAGTGTCTCCATAAATGGGATACCGTGAGTATTCCAATTATGGAAACCCCTGAGACAAGTTTCAAGCAAACACAATGCAAGCATGTTGTTACGGTACATACAGTAATAAATGTACAAACCACCGTTTAGTGAATGCTCCCCGTTCGCAATAATGTGGTCTGGTAACGTATGCAGTATAACCATGCGAACCGCCAGCCAGGGAACACTCCAACCTCCTGAACGGTACCTGTACAGCTCCTTCCCTTCACGAGCTCCAAATACATGAACTGCCAATATTAACCGAACGCCAATAGCTTCCAAGCGGCAAATAATTCCAATGAGCAGTCTCTAGTCGCCGGTAATAAAATCCTCCCA